CTCAATAGTAGAGATGAGTATAATAACCGGAAAACCGAACCAAAACCAAAATAACCGATAAAGTCGAACTACTTCAAAAACGAAATGTTTAGTTTCTAATTTTTCTTAACCGGTAACAAATGGTTCGACTTTGGTTTTATACCTAAACCATGGTCTGTCAATTCGCAACACGACCTGTGACAGGACACGAACCTGACACGAATATAAACGGGTTTGGGTTGATTTTGTATGACCTGTCTGTAACGTCCCAACAATATGATCCAATAATTTCATTTTTAATTTAAGTAAAATGGTATTCCAAAAACATTATCCATACAACCCAAATGAAAATAAGTCTATCAAACATCATAACAATCAGAGTAATATCTCAAAAGCGGAATCCATGTGGTGTGTGCGATGCAATCAACCCGAGCTCTTCCCCTTGGAACCGGAAGTACCTGAAACATAAACTGAAAACCGTAAACCCAAATCTTAGTAAGTTCCTCAAACTACTCCATACCATACATAATAAATCACATACTGGGCCCCCGCCCTCTATCGAGCCTCACTCGGTATACATATCTGTTATTCTTAGGCCCTACCTGACACCGATCCCCATTCACTATACGCATACGATACATATCACATAATCATGCTAACACATACAATCATCATAAACAATATCATACAATTCAATCATCGGGCCTTGCCCGGCATCGAGCCCCGCCCGGTATACATAACACATGCAAGGGTCACACAGACTCCTAACATAAACAACAAGGGTCGGCATTGGTGTCTTAGACCCGCTAAACCCAGTGAGGAAACTCACCTCGACCGCTGAATCTCACTGAAAATCCTTGGCTACTGGTCCAACGAATCCCCGAGCTAATCAATACCAAAACAACACCCAATTAACATTTCGGTTCCAATCCGTAACCATAAATCCATACTTGGGGTAAAAAGACTATTTTACCCCTAACCTAACTTGGTCCAAGACTAAGGCTTAACTCACAATCTAAAAGGCCCAAAAGCCAATTAATCAACCACATCCCAATTATGGCCCAATTTTCCAAATTGGGCCCAAACCCCTTACACGGGCCTTACCCTAAAGCCCAACCATTTTCCCTAGTCCAAAACACTTACACTCAGATGGCCCAATAAGAGCTCAAACACCCAAGCCCAAACTTGAAGCCCAAAATGCAAAATCCCACCCGACTGAATACGCGGGGCGTACTCAGCTGTACGCTAAGCGTACACACTATTTGGCTTGTACGCTGTGCGTACAGACTTGTACACCTAATGTACTCATCCATTAAGCTAAACTCTTCATTAAGCTCTTAATGCTTAAGATCAGAAGTCCAAACCACAGATCCAAGTCCTAATAAGCGTCTATAACCATAAAGTCACTGACTTGGTGACTTTGCATGCCTCATAAAGACCCAACTTCAAAATATAACACTCTACTTCCATTAAACTGACATAAACTCTTGCATGGATGAATCCAAATCCTAAAGGTGACAAGTTTATGAATCTAGAACCTCAGAAACACCAAGAGTGACAACTCATAGCTCCTGGAGTAGTATCAAACCACTAGATCTTATTCTTGGGTCCAAAAAGGACCAAAACTCATATATAATAGATCTAAGCCAAAAATAAACAAGTTCATAGCTTTATACCTCAAACAAGCTGGAAATGAAGCAAATAATCAAGATCCACAAGCTCTTCCTTAATCCACCACCTTGCACCAAGCTTCTACTTCTTGAATATGGACTAAAGCACACCAAAATGGACACAATGAGCTCAAAACACAAGGGAGAGGCTTAGGGTTTCGAATATGGGGCTAAAAGGTTAGAGGAGGCTGAGGAATGAGGGTTTCATAAGCCATAAAGGTGATTATATAGTGTCCAACCTCAAAAATTAGGGTTTTTAAGATTCCTTACGTACACCTCCGAAACCCCGTCCAACCCTCGAATGAGTATGCTAAGCGTATCATGTGGTACGCCCCGCGTACTCGCTTCGCAGCTTGTACGCCAAGTGTACCATGTGGTACGCCCCGCGTACAACACAAGGACCAAATTGCAACTTTTACATAATACAAGGGCAATAATGAAACATATCAGGGTTCAAGTGTTACACTGTCAACCCGCAAGCTGCCAACCCGTTTATTATACGGGTCGTATAAGGGTTTGAAAAAAAAATCACGAGTTGAACCGTGATCCCTTTATATTATTAAATTATATATTTGTTTAAATAAACTAAAGGACCTTGGGTTGGCTGCTCTCACTCACATGTCTTTGTAAAATTATATATGTTTGCATCAGTTTATCTTTTTGGAATTTATACATGTTTAATTATGAATATATAGTAACCGTTGGCTACTCTCACTCACATTTTTTTCGGAACGGCAAATCTTTCATATTTCTACTAAACTACTCATAATACCACCTATGTTCCGGACGAGACTTGAACCCTCGACCTCAAGGAGGGAGGACAACACCTGCTCTCACTCACATGCCTTTGTAAAACTTTACATGTTTGTATCAGTTATTTTTTAGAATGTACATGCTTAATTATCAATAGACACTAATCATTTATATCTAATTTCATACATATTTTCGTTATCATTATTTCATATATATTTTAATGGTTATTTATTTATTTATTTATTGTTTTTTGTTATTCTAAAGACCCAGGAAACAACGGTATGTAAAAATCTAAATGTCCTACAATTCCATACATGCACAACATCAAAATCATTCCTTTTCAACTTTTCATTAACATTAGTATTATCAAACTCCAAAAGACTATGTGTATCATAATTATTTATGAAATCTGACCCACGAACTCATGAACTTGAATCTGACCCATGAACCGGTGAACCCGTATGACTAAACAGGTTACTGTATTATTTCCGGGTTGATGTTCCTAACCCGCCAATCCATTACACGAATAATTATATGGCTCGTGTACAGGTTGATGTATTTCGACCCGCCAACCCGAACACGACCCGTTTGCCCCCTAGAGAAACCTAGCCATTATTAACCGAGGTACAGAGGTATCATCTGAATTTGGGGCATTGCGGGCTAGGCTTGGCTACAAAGACTTCAAAACTCAAAAACACTTGCAAGGTCCAAGCCACCAAGGTGTTGTTCCTACAGTCTTGCTATTTAGGGGATATTTTGTAGCTTGTTTGACATTTTAATATTTTAATATTTATGTTAACAAAGACCATTTTACTGTTTGCAATGAATCCTTTTTATTTTATAACATTTGACTGTTTAAAAATATGATTTTAATTTAGTAAGGATGGATTATGTATAAAGTATAGACCCTAAAGATCAATAAAACAATTATTATACGACTCAGTGTTATATGTTTTTTATTAAGGTGTAAATTACTAGATTTGCTTAACTTCCTAATGTCTGCTATACGATTTTTTATTTGATTTAATGTTTACTTCGATTAATTAAATTATTGCGTATATACTATATAAATTATTAGACTTGGTTCTTAAGTAATTTGTACATATTGTCTATTTCTTAGAAGCCACTAGCCCACTACGATTGTTATTACTCTCATTCTCAGGCCTTAAATCCGAGTCTCTTGTTTTATCGCTTATCTTAAAAGATGCCATCATGAAACCAATTGGAACTATGACGTGAGGGCTTAAAAGTTGTACTAAAAATATTATGTTTGATTTTGAATTCACGTTATACTTTTAGGAGATATTTAGTTTAACGTGGTCAATTAATGAAAGATTTAAGGTGTCATATAATATTCTCGATTATTTTTACAACGGTTTAATTACGTTTATGTTCAAAAATCTATTAAATTAAGACAATGTTATATTTTAATTCAAAAGAACATTGTATCTAGAAACTTTTAGTTGAAAAAACAATGTTAATATTCTTAATGGGCTAGATTTCAACTTAAAACAACTGTCCCAGACTGCCAACAATGATGAGAATTCCAACAATTTATATCCAAACCCATCATCTTTTTAGGAAAGACATGTCATGACTTTATCTTACATGTGTATACTGTAATCACCCTTTATGTTTCATAATACTAGTGTTTGATCTTTAATGATATCAAGTGTTAAGCATGCATCATAGTTGCATGATAATGACATGATAATTCAAGTGCTCACACATTTCATTTTTGCAACCGATCCATAAAAAATCTCGGCAGGTCAATACATAAGACAAACGAACTAAAATCCATGAATAATGACTATAAATTCAAAATTTTCATATTTTTAAGATTTTTAGTTTTTAAAACGAAATTAACCTATATAAAATACATGAAACAAAATCGAAAAGTTTGTAAACCGCTATCCATTTCACAAATCCAAATTTAATGTTTGTAGACAGATAATTCTAAAATATTTTTTTAGAAAGATGAAGCTTCTCCCATATTTTTTGTTTAGACAATTAAAAATAGGTTTAATGACATAAAGTGATAACCAATAATACATATATTTATTTCTTTTGAGGTCACTTATCTTTGAATGCATTCGATAAGTCTGTAAACTTCATTTGAGTTCATTACACAAACATGATAGATTTCAACCAGGTAAGCTAGTATTAAATGATATGTGGTGTCTACTATGAAATTCAACATGACATTTTTTTCATTTAGGCATGTTTGAGACATTGATATTGCATCCAATGTGGCATTTGATATGACGAAGTTATTTGATTGAAATGCACTTTAATGGTTTAGCATGAACAAAAAACGGTTTAATGACCTTTAAGTACAATTAATAGACAAGCAACCTAAAAAACAAAGTGCATGCTATTGGTTGTCATTTTATGACATTAACCCTTACAAGTAAAGAGGTCTTGTTTTCTTTAGGACTTATAGAGTAACATTTAACTAATTAAGTGACCAATTTGTTGTTACTTTTAAAAATAGGGGTCTTATTTTGTAGTTCACCAAATATAAAAGGACCATTAATGAAACATTCCAATAATTATGGAATATAATCGAAGTTTCCCATAGACTTTCCCAGCTCACATATTCTGGCCGGCGCCAAAAGTAGTCACCGGCCACCTTCAAATACCCCCTCCCACTTTCCTTCAAATTCATCAATCGTAGACTTTACACGCAAAGCTGCAAATTCATCAAAATCACACACGAAATCCATGGATATCTTTTCGTACTTCACCTCGAACATTGACACAGAGAAGTAAGTGCTTCGTTAATTTCCTTTTCATGGTTTGATTTCGTTTTCACAATTGTTGATCGGGAAAATTGTGCTTTTTGTTTCTTATGTTGACTTGTGATGTATTATGATCAACAGGATGGGTTTTGATGACGACGAATTCGAAGATGCTGAAACAGGAACAGCTCTTTCTTTGATTTCAGATGCATTTGAGGAACTATCGGATTTAATTAAAAAGGATAATGGGGTTTCCATCGAGCTGCGTTTGAAGCCCTTTTGTGACGCGTGTTCTTTGGTCTCTGTTCTATTTGGTTCGCTTGGCATCGCTTTCAAATTTGCCGAGATGGAATACACCTCCAAGGTACCTTTTCTGGCTTTCTTCATCGAATTCATTACAAGCTTTTTCTATTTTCAGGACAAATGAACATTTTCATGTCCAATCAATTAACTATAATTAGTCAAACATAAAAATCGGTGATAAATAGGAAGTTTCTGAAAGTAATTCGAGAAATAGTTTTTCGAATTTGAATCTATTGAACTCTAGGGTTCATTCAATGCATGAAAAAACCCTAATTTCATTGTTGATTATGGTCATCAGGTGCGTGATCTTTCTGAAGCAGCAAGTCTTTATGGCACTTTAAGTAAAGTAATTGATTACGATGTTAAAAGTGACACTGTGCAATCAGCTGAGAGCCTTACTCGAAAGCTTCGAAGAGTTAGACAAGGTCTAGATCTTATCAGAGAATTGTTTCAGAATTTCTTGTCAACAGAGTACGTATCTTTCCTCATATACATCAATTACAAAAACTTCAATCTTTTGTTCCATGGAAACAATATGATGTTATGTCATATCATTTCAAAAGCTTCAATCTTTTGTCACATATCATGTGATGTGATGTCATTAAGACAAACAAACAGTATTATGTCATGTCATTCAATTGACAAAAGTTGCAACATTTTGTCCTAACACGTAAATGTTCAAAAATAGTGTAGAAAAGTTTATCCAATTATGTCCTATGTAACAAATGCAGCCATATAAAACTTTGTCATTTAAGATTAATGATGTATTTATTCTAATAATATTAAAATGTTTTTGAAATCTTTTAGTGATTACTCATTGAAAGAAGCAGCTTCAGAGGCTTACAAACAAGTGTGTGCTCCATATCACACATGGGCGGTTAGAACTGCAGTTTCAGCAGGAATGTGTGCTCTTCCAACAAGAGATCAACTCTTGTTAAATCTAAATGAAAGTGGTAAGTTGTAAATTTTACTGGTGTCACATCATGTGTCACATTTACCTGGTGTAACATTGTTGCATAAATAAGCATTTAACTGGTGTCACGTCATATATCACAGATGAATCAGCAGAAAGTGAAATGAGAAGGTATATAAAGGCTTCGCTTCCTATTATAAATTACATTGATAATCTCTACACTTCAAGGGGAATCACTTTGGATTGGTGATATTTTATTTTACAATGCCCAAAGTTGTTCACAATTTTTTTTCCATGGAAGTCATCTATGTTATGTTATGGTGTCAAGGTGTGTTTGTTCCTATTCTTTTTGTATATTGGCCATTCTTTGTTACAATTAGGTGAATTGTGTTAGAATTAACTTAGTTTTTATATTACCATTGGCACTATTGGAGATTTATGTACATGTTGGTTTTGGTATATTTTTTTTCTTGAATTTGTGTATAGTTGTGTTGCATCCCATTTTCCAATAATTTAGTGGTTGGAATTTTCGAGTAATAATAATTGGTAATATAGTTAATAAAGTCAAATCATTATAAATTTAAAACATAAGACCTTTGTTGAGTAATATAGTAAAAACCATGACATAATTTACAATTGGCCCAAGTCCTATCACCCAATAATCTTGTAAGCATTCCTCAGAGTGGGGACCACTGTTTATTTCGATATATAAATGTTTTTTTCACAAGTAGATAGAAAAAGAAAGTTGTGAAATATTAAACCATGTGTTTAAGCCATCTCTACCCCTTAAACCCCCTCCCCACTCCCACTGTTTATTAAGGACCAAATGTTAATTTTCTCCTTTCACCTTGTAAACATAACTTTGTTCCCCTCCACACGACATATATGGATATGGGTACATGACCACCAACAAAAAAAACACTACAATAGCGAAAACAAAAGCAAATCAAGAACTTTGGTTAATTGGGTATAAGAGGGCTTTTTTTTTTTTCTTTTTTTTAAAATGACAATGTTTAGGTAACATACCAGAAAATAGATACCACAACATCAAGGCATCAAGCATTCTTTTGAGGATATTTTCATTACCATCTTACGGGTCTTCCATAGTCGTGTCACTTTAGTGACTTGAACCTATTTTCACAACAACTAATTAGTATAAAAAGTTTTATATTTTCAAGAAATATTAAAAGATCAAATTTGGCACGCATACAACTAAATCATGGTAGTGAGTTTTAGCAAATGCTAAATGTGAAAAGAACAGCAAGAATGTGATTAAGAAAATGATGGTTGAGTGAGCCATTTTGGTTGATGATTTGTGTGAATTGAAAATTGAAAAAAAAAAAAAAAAAGCATTTAAGCAGCAGGTATGTTGAAAATAATGCCTAACGGTGTTAGGCTAAACTTCCAATCCAACCGTTAAATGAACAGTCATTCTATACAACATAATTAGTGCTTAAATAACTCTACAACTCAGCAATTTTATACAAAGAATACAATAAAGGAAAAAGAAAGAGCACCTTCATATACAGAGATTCCGTACCTAAAAATGATTTTAAAAATGTAATATATCCCATGTAGATTAAAGAGGTTATACAATTGTATGAAACTGAATTATAGAAGCAAGGATGACATGTTTTACCATGGAGGGTTGACTGTGTGCATTTGTTCTAAAACTTCAGTTTTGAAAGATGTTTCTTTCTCCAATTGTTGCTTGCACATGCAAAGATACAGGTAAAAAAAAACCGTAAATAATCAACCAAATGATAAAAAATCATAGAAATTTTCAACCTTTTGTTCGACTCATCTCTATCATCTGATGCTTTTGGAAAATCAAATATTTATAGATAGAGAAGTAGGAAAAAAAAAAAACATAAGTTGAAAAACCCAAAATCGGAAGAAACCTAAATCGAAAATTGAAGATTGATGTACCAGAATCGTAGAATGGATTTGAAATACATACTTTTAAGATGGTAATTAACAACAATGCCATCAATTGGGAATCTTACCTCGGATGACGCAGTTCGATGTAAGCAAACAGAATGGCGTTGACTGAAAATCGAAGACAGCTCCATACTCCAGCCGAAAAAAATCAGCGAATCCCAACCTTAATCACTTTACCTCCTCTGTAATCGACTCCTTTGACCTATCTCCATTGTTTTTCAGCAATGGTTTGAAAGTTAGAGTATTCAATCAAGAATTAATATGAAGAAATAGAAGTGTAATCAGTTTCGCCTAAACCGAAATTGTATCTGTTGTCCAATAAAGGTCTTGAATAAGGGGCAGATGAGGAACGTCTAAATGTTGTATCCGAGGTGACCTTCGAAGGAATACAGCTGCAGATGAAGATACAAAGGGAGCTTCCGTTTCGGAAGTTTAGGCATGACGAAAATAAAACCAACGATCAAAGCGACCAACGATCAAAAACGTAACATAAAACGAAAAACTTTATGTCGGTGTTACATGATGCGTGGGCAATAGAAAATCAGACGAAAAAACACCACGTAGATGGTAAATCTGGAGGTGAATGCACGTGTAACTCACTGTCTCGAAAACACAAAAGTAAACCAAAAAAGAAAATACCCACCAATCAAAGGGAGGAACTGTTCCTAAGGGGGCTTATGTTTTAATATATTATATATAATGTATGTTAAATGTAAAGACTTAAAAATTTTCATATATATATTATTTGATTGTTATATCTTACATATATTACATACATTTGAATGGTGGGTGGGCTGAGGTTGAGAATTAAGTCTATGTATGTAGATCATATGTAACATGTAAGACATTTATGCCAATTTTAAGAAAACTTGAAACGGAATGTGTTTTATGGACTTGTTTTTGTCGGTTGCAACATCGAATGTTAAAGATCGGCTTTTGGAACATATGAATGTAATAACTGTTGAACTTATTTGGTAGATGCTAACTATTTTGTATATAAAAATGTTTTGTACTAACATATTAACTGTTTTTACATACTAACCAATCTAGGATTCCAGCTAAACACAATTTTGCATGTGAGTATGTATGTAGTTATGCGTATGACAATGTATATATGACTAATTTACATACTAATGTTTTTTATGTATGACAATTTGAAAAATATATATGTATGACCTTAGTAGTGGGTTTGAAAATGATATGTGTATGCTTATGTTTTGATAGAATGTGTATAATATTTGTGTCAATAAGTCGGATACCAACTAATCCACCCAACCACAGTTTAAATGTCAAAAATAAGATGGAAAACTACAGTTAAAGACATTTAATTAATGGCTAAGTAAAATCGGTCCCTTCAACATAATAAAACCCTAAGTAAAGTCAAAATAAAAAATATAAAAAACACTAAAGTAAACATAAGTAACATGACCATCTTAAACTTTGTATTTCTCTAATGAATTTTCTAACTGGGAACTCAATAAATTTTATTAGAAAAACAAACTACCAAGATGCTAGACATCTACAAATTACAAGTCATGAGAGGAGGGCAACACCAAATAGATCAATCTAGACTAGACCATGTATCCCTATACTGAATTTAGTTAAAAAGCAAAACCTAAATATCATCCATAACTTTTTGCAGAGAACATTTTGAATTCCTGAAAATAGTTGCATTTCTCGCCAATAATAGGGTTGATGGGAGATTGATCCATTTAAAATAGTTGCAATTCTTTTAAGGATAACAAACTTGGTTCCAAAATCAACCTTTATATTTCAAACGTACATTATGCAACAATTTACTTGATAATTATGGCACTTAATATATTTTCTACCATAGTTTTAAATGGTCTAATAAGTCCAACATTTAGCTTGAGATATACATCCATGTACATAAATGTCATTTAATTGGTGGACATTTACTCCAAATTTGTATATGGAAGCAAAAGAAGGCATTTAATTTGTTTGATTCTTTGTTCTAGACCCATTTCAAGAAAGAAACATACATTCCTTTACAATTGAATTACTAATTGTGTATGTGTCAACCAAATTGCCACATAAATTGCATATCACTTAATTAAATGTCACATCAACATTCAACAATGAAATCGGTGGAAGCTGACATATGAAGTAAAATGGTTAATTTAAAGAAAAAAAATACAAGTTGGGACTAGCTTAATTGGCTAACAAAGTGTCTAACAATAAGTTAATAACAAGGAGGTCGTAAGTTCTATCACAAACATATACTAACCCGTCGTTCTAAAAATAATAATAATAATAATAAAATCGAAATCGTGGTAATGAAACCACAAAACATCCAAAAATATAATTGTATTATTCATAGTTTGTCATTACATATTCTTTAACATCAATGCTATTTAGATCTGAATTTTGATTTTAAGATCGTGATACTTTTACGATTATACAAACAAAAAATTTATCATAATTCCAGTAAGACGATTTAAGCAAGATGGAACCCATAATTATATGATCGAATGTAAAATCAAAGGGTTGTATAATAATCCTTTAACCCTTTCTATGATATAGTGATATGGTTCTTAGTGTCTAAAAGTATAAACTCTAAAATATTTTCTACAAAATTGGTATCTCATGCCACTTCAAAAATCCAATACAATATGTGTAAAATTTGTCCATTGAGCTTCATATTGAGCATCATATTGTAAACTCACAACTTCATTAATTTGTCTCAAAATCATAATGATGTCGCTACATGCAAGTTCTTCTATTTGTTTTTTTTTTGGTTAAAATGTTCTTTTTCTAGTTAACCTATCATAAGGAGGCTACAATCAATAACAATAAGAGGGTATAATCAATGATGATTGATGGTAAGAGAAAGAAAGGACATCCTCGAAAGAAGTTGAAGGATAGCATGAGGCTTGATATGGAAGAACTTGCTCTTACATAATACATGACCTCATATAAGTTGGTGTGGATATGCAACATTAGGGTTAATGGATAGTCTCGCCACTATGTATGTCTTTGTTTTTTTTTATATTTATTGTCGAAAAAGATTTTATGCTCTTATGTTAGTTTATGCTTATCCATGTATCGTTTTACTACTCTCTATCCAATACCCTCTGTATTTTCTCCATTTGCAAGTTCTCGTATTCGTACACTTCTTTCTGAAGTACCATTTCTACTGCATAGTATGATAGTCGCTCTTCCGTCTACGAAGAGTTGATTGTTGATTTGATGGGATTCTCTTGGTCTATAGTTGCTATTAGTATTATGATTAAAAGAATTCTGCTACATCACATAAGAACAACACATGTTTGTCAAATTTATAATAATGTTTACAACTACATCAATATCTTATCGATATCTTATGTAAAGTTAAGTCTTTAAATGTTACCCTTAAAATAAGAGATTTAATATTTCAGACTATAAAAACTGTATACAAACTAGGTTATAACATATTAACCTCCCAAGTCACATGATCTTTCGACCCTAATCCGATCATATGGTTACAATTTTATAAAGTTAAAAACAATACTAAATAAAATCTTTGATTTTTAAAACATTGTTTAAGATATAGTTCTAACTTTTTTAAGTGAAGAAAACAAATAGCAAATTTAGAAGAAATGGGTTTAGTTGAGGGAGTAGAGTTAGACCAACGAACTTGGATGACATGGCCAATGTTTGGGCGATGTTTACAGTGTTTCCTCTTCCTCATATCCTCGTCTTCTCCGCCTCATTCTCTTTCCATTCCTATATCTCTCTCCCCGATTTTCTCATTTCACCCCCAAATCCATCGTCTCCATATCCCTCTCTACAATGTCTTCTTCACTTCTGCAAGCTAGGGCTTCCCCATCGCTCTCTTTCTCTTCATCCATCTCCGCAGCCAACACCCAATGGCGCTTTACCTCCTCACCCGCCGTTACATTCACTCGCCGCACAAGGAATTACACCGTTCGTGCTAAAATCAGAGAGATCTTCATGCCTGCACTCAGCTCCACCATGACTGAGGGCAAGATCGTCTCATGGATCAAGTCCGAAGGGGATGTTCTCTCCAAAGGTGAGTCTGTTGTCGTTGTTGAATCTGATAAAGCTGATATGGATGTTGAAACTTTCTACGACGGAATTCTTGCCGCTATTGTTGTTCCTGAGGGTGAGTCGGCTCCAGTTGGCGCTCCGATCGGTTTGTTAGCGGAGACTGAAGCGGAAATTGAAGAAGCTAAGGCGAAAGCCGCTAGTGCTGGTAGTTCTGCTCCATCGACGCCTGCTGCTTCCGCTCCTTCTCCGCCTCCGCCTCCTCCGGCTCCGGTTGCTGCTCCTTCTACACCAGCTGCGGCTCCTGTTGCGGCGGATGGATCGAGGAAGATTGTTTCGACACCATTTGCGAAGAAGCTGGCGAAACAGCATAAGGTCGATATAAACAAGGTAATTGGGACTGGACCATTTGGGAGGATTACTCCGGCGGATGTTGAAGCTGCTGCCGGAATCAAACCTGCGAAATCCTCGGCTGCCCCTGCAACCGCCACCGCTCCTTCTGCTCCTGCTCCTGCTGCTCCGGCTAAATCCTCACCAACATTTGCTGAAATTCCCGGGGCTACGATCGTTCCATTTACCACAATGCAAGCTGCTGTGTCAAAGAACATGATTGAGAGCTTGTCTGTGCCAACATTCCGTGTTGGTTACCCGATTATCACTGATGCTCTTGATGCTCTATATGAGAAGGTCAAATTCGTGTTTACCTATCTCTTACTGAAATCTGATCATGCTCATACCTATCATATACTCTCACAGTTTGATTGAACATTTGAATTATGATATTCCTAAATTTAAATTGTTTGTTGGTGGATGGATCTTCAGGTTAAGCCCAAGGGTGTTACCATGACTGCTTTGCTAGCAAAGGCTGCTGCCATGGCCCTTGTTCAGCATCCTGTGGTCAATGCAAGTTGCAAAGATGGAAAGAGTTTTACTTATAACAACAGCATCAATATTGCAGTAGCTGTGGCTATCAATGGTGGTTTAATCACCCCTGTTCTCCAAGATGCTGACAAGGTATGCATGGATCTTAAGTGTTCTTCATTCCTAGCAAACATAGACAGAAATCCTTCATTCTGTTTGCTTTCTTGTAGTTGGATCTTTATCTGTTATCCCAAAAATGGAAGGAGCTTGTGGAGAAAGCAAGATCCAAACAACTTCAGCCCCATGAATACAACTCAGGTAACCACTAAACCATATAAGTTTCTAATTGTAATTATATCTTCTTTCTTTACAAGATTTTATGGATGAAATATGCCATTTTGATTGCAGGGACTTTTACACTTTCAAACTTAGGCATGTTTGGAGTGGATCGATTTGATGCGATTCTTCCTCCTGGACAGGTATTTGTTAAAAAAAAAACTTGATTTTAGTTATTTTATAAAATCTTTATCTGTGTAAGTTTTATATTATTTAGGTCTTATTGAAAATTTGAAATGTTTGATTTGTTGCAGGGTGCTATTATGGCTGTTGGAGCTTCAAAGCCTACTGCTGTTGCTGATAAAGATGGATATTTCAGTGTGAAAAATCAAATGCTGGTGAGTTTTTTTGTATATTAAATAATGTTTTTTGGAACCCATATAAATCTTTATTAAATTCGTTTTTTAAGAAATTCATGATGTTATTATTATAATATTTTTCAGGTAAATGTTACTGCTGATCACCGAATTGTATATGGAGCAGATTTGGCTGCTTTCCTTAAAACATTTGCAAAGATTGTTCAAGAACCAGACATCTTGACAATGTAAAATGTTGTTCCAACTTTTTATCCTTAACAACAACAACAACAACAATCACATGATATGATCTTGCAGCTAAGAAACTTGGTTTGCAGAGGTGGCATTATTATTCGGTTTCTAGCACATGTTGTAGCTCCATTTTTCTTTTTTCTTTTTTGTCATTTTCGGATATTCTTTGAGGTGGTTTTTGAACAGGGTTAATAAAGTCTTTTCACAACAAAAGAAAATTGATGCTATTCTTGTTGCTTGTTTTTTTTCTCTGGTTTGGATTATGCTCCTTTCAATGGAGTAATTGGTTGGAGTTGTTAGAAATCAAGTTTTTTGGTTTGAAAGAATTTGCATGAATCAATTATTCTAATGGTTATTGATTGATTAAAATATTTTGAATTGAAAAATTAATCAAATACATAACTATATTCATATGAATTGAGAAACAGGTATTTGGAAAAAAATAGAAACTTTGGTATTTTGAAATTCTAATTCTAACAACCCAATATATTCATATGTTATGCACCATAATGATATATCCTCTCAAACCATTTCAAAATAACATGTAACATAAATATAAATACCCCACTTCCTACTTGTAAAAAGCTAAGCATAATTTTATTCTGTATAAAAACAGTATACCTTAAACAAAATTTATATGGAATTTGCATAAAATTAAACGATGACAATCCTCATGACAAGGCTTATTAGTTATTGCACATAATGATTTAGCAAAGAAACTTAATATGCTTTCCCTAACATGACATCAAGTAGTCCAAAAGTAACCCCTAAATTGTTGAGAAAGGTGACTTAACCTACTCATCTTTCTTTTCCTCAAGTTTTCCATCCTCTTTCATTCGAGTATTCAACCTTAAAAACATCATGATTTCCATATCTATGCAAAAACAACCCAAACATACATAATATAAGCAATTTGTTTACGATATTTTATACAAATAGTTCACCATTTGTTATTTTATATTTTTATTGTATTCACGTCATTGATATTACTCGTAGCAAAAAAATCTCAATAAGTCATGGAAGGACAGGCAAGCATCAAATTGTTATTTATTTATTTATTTATGACATTGAGCTATGAATTGTTTTTGTGACTAAATATTGACCTATGAGCAATTGTTTTTGTGACTAAATACCATTTTATTTTTTATTTTCTTGGTAAATCATTGTTATTTTTTGGTTGTGTGAGAAATTCCATAGGTATGTTGCATGGTGATGAGGATCAACCTTGACTGCAACTCTTGTTGCAGAAAAATGAGGAGAAACATCTTAAACATGAAAGGTAAAGATTTGTTTGTTTAACCATGACAAGATTTATTTTGGTGAAATTAACTTTTAAAATATAGTTTTACAAGTTTTTTTATGATAATAATGTGTATACATAGTTTTATTAAACAAAATCATAACACAACAATCACAAATATAAATTTAAAAAAATGTTGTTCGTTTCTTTTATTTGTATTATATTTATAAAAAAATCAACCTAAAGAAAATCAAGTCATGTGTCCTCATAAAAATCTGTTTAAGTGATCATCTTTTGTGTTATGTTTTAAGAAAACATACACAAACAAATACAACTAATTTTGTTTGGTTCATATGTGGTACAATTTTTTAATTAATTTTGTTTGGGACCATACAATTTGTATTTTTGGAAATGATTTTTTCTAAAAGGAAACATTGCCTTTTTTGGACAACCCAAATAGAAGATATTAATTGTAGTTTCTTAACATGGAGAGAATATGCATGAGGTTTAAACTTAAAACAACAATATTAATTATCATAAAAAGAAAGATCACAAATTTACTAATATATATATATATATATA